ACTAAGATTACTTAGATAGATTCTATACGGGCTCATATGACTTTAATTGCGCGGCAAATTTAGGGGTGGCCGCGGTATTAATTAGGAATACCAATTGTTCAGGGGGGGGGACCCCTCATCATTAAACAGGGTGCCACATTAAGAGTCATACGGCAATCATACGGTCCTCACCTTGGGGGTTGGGGTGGCCACAACCCGTATTCTTGGAACTGTGGCTTCAATCTATGCAATCGCTGGCTTTTTCACAGACTGCGCAGCCCTAAACCCTAAACCCTAAACCTTAAACCCTAAACCCCTATGGCCACAGAGCTCCCAACAAGCGGCCTCAGCGTTGATGCCAGCAATCTTCACCCCCGCCTCAGATTATCTGGACACCGGATGATCCACCTTGACAACCTCTACTGGGAGGGTCAGGGGGACTTAATAAGTAGGCTAATAATGCGGATAAGTAGGGTTATTATATGGGGTACAGAGCTTATTCACCTACTTACTAAGTCCCCCTGACCCCCAAGTAATCCCCTCCCCCTGATACCTGACCCCAGCCCCGCACACTAACTATAGCACCATTCTATATTAACATATACTACATGATTATAGTAGTTTCCATTTTCTTCTCCGCTCCATTATCACCATATAACCCCTATATATATAATATACATATATACATACACACACCCTCGTGTAATGTAGTGATTATTCATGATTAGGCTTGCTTCCGGTTGCCTGCAAGCACTTCGTGTAGTGCTCCTCAGCAACAGGTCGGCCGATGGCAACTCCAAAGCCTGGCGAGACATGGGGGGGATTGTCAAAATTATGGTCCCTTTTTGGGTCCCTATTATAATACGGGGCCTAATTTAGGGGACCCAAAAAGGGACCATAATTTTGACAATCCCCCATGGGTAGTTCCCAAAATTAGGGTCCTATTTTGGTACCCCTAAATATGAGGTGCCGCAACATATGATCTATAACCGAGAGGGGGCCCGTAATTTTGAGAACAGCCCATATGAGGCTTGTTGTGGTCCCAGCCAAGGTAGGTTCAGTTCTTGTCACTTGAATACCATAGCCAAAACAAGGTACAATCTTCCTCTCTATTGGGGACTATAGCATCCCAAGGTAGTACTCATATGCGGTTTGTATCACGCAAGTCTTTGAAGGTAGTCAAACAGGTCGCGCGAAAGGCATGCACATCTATCTGAGCAGGTGGAATCCTTTTCTGTGCTGCGAGTCCGGGGAGTCAGCTTGCTTCGTAGCAACAAGCCCTTCCCCAAAGAATCTCTCACCGGCCCTTCAGCAGCTGAAAGCCTTGAATTCCCGTGCAGGATGGCTACATGCTTCTTTCCCAACGTGCCCAGGAAAGCTGGGCTACATGCGCATCTTGGCCAACATGTGGCGAGCAGCTGCCAAGAGCTGCAGCGATGGATGCCGCCTCCGGGGCAGCTTCCTTGCAAAGATTAAGACCCGCTCTTCCATCCATTCTGCTGTGGAGGGTTGCCAGCTCTTTTGAGCTTGGCGTGCGTTTCGAGATGGGACTGTGTACTCCAGCGGCTCAAGACCTAGGACTGGCTGGAAGCGTTGTAGCAGCCCTCTCCATTGGATAGCTCGTGGGAACTGGCCACAATGGTCCAAAGCTGAAAGAGCACTTTCCAGCCCCACCAGTGTTCCTGCCTCTGCTTCTCTGACTCTTCTCGATGCACTCTGGGCCTGCAAGATGTTCAGGAGGAGGTCAGCATATTGCCACCGGGTTCCTCTGGAGCAAGCTTCCAGTGCAGCAGCAGTTGCCACAGGGCCAGCAGGAACACCGCTGTGCCGCAGCCGGTCCAAGAGGTGTAGAACCAGCTCCCAACGATTTGCCTTGCTGCAGCAGCTCATGGCAGCCGCTACCGGCATAATTGATCCAGATGCTGTGTCAGAAAGGTCCTGGAAGACTTGGGGCCCTCCACCCAACTCGGTGGAGTGTAGCAACTGCATTGCCAATTCCCACTCTCGGCTGTACTCGCAAGAACTTACAACTGCTCCACAGAGCAAGGCATTGGGCTTCACTAGATTCGCGACAAGACTGGAGGAAAGAGAGAGCGCGTGCTGCCATTGCTGAGACTTCTCGCACGCGCTAACAGCTGCGCAGCAGGCGCTTGAATCCACCAGTCCAGTTCGCAAGGCTTCCCAAGCGGTATGGCATGCAAGGGACCACTGGGCTCCACGCTCACAAGCCTTCAGGGTGGCGCCCAGTGAGACCAAGGCGCCCTGCCTGTCGTTGGATTTCACAACTGCGCATGAAAGGCTTGCTAGTTCCAGGGCAATCTGCCACTTCAAAGCAATGGCACAGGCAGAGCTGGCTGCTGTGAGGATCACTGGCTTTTTGGGCAAACCAGACTGCTGGGCTCGATGTAAGTAGGTCAGTGCCGTCTGCCACACAGCGCCGTAGACGCAGGAAGAAATGACAGCATTGAAGGAGTAGGAATCTGGCAGAAGTGCAGAGAAGAGATGCTGGTATGCGGCGGTCTGATGCTGTTGCTGTGTGTGACCAGCTTGATTGAAGAGCCAAAGTGACAGTTGCCAGGCGCTGTTCCGAGCGCAGGCACTGATACTTGCATTCATAAGCCTCGCTTGTGCTTAGAAGGGAATGGATCTTTACATTTAGTCCCTTCAACTCGCTCCTAGAAGCCATTCCCTATTAAGTCCAAATAAGGCACTGTAGATCCACTTGCAAGCTCCTCGCTTGGAGCTCTTCCAAAATGCGAAGCATGGCCCTCCATCCTCCCCAGTGCAGAAGCGGATCCATCATGGTGCTAAATGTGACCAGATTGGGGGCGACGGAATGTGCTGCCATGTCTCCTCCAGGGCTTAAGAGACTATAGTCCCCCTTAAGTAGATAGAATATGGCTTTGGGTATATTATAAAAAGATCCCCATATACCCCATATTCTATCTACTTAAGGGGGACTATACATTGACGTAGGGATCCAGTGATAAGGAGATCTCTAGGACAGGGTGCTTCTCACAATGAGCTGTCCTTAGGGACTCTAGGGCAATATGCGTATGAAGACTCTGCAAAGGGATGTTCAAAGGGATTCACGGTTCCGCTTTTTGGATTGTGTAAGGACTAGTTCGAGGTCAAGAAAAACCTAAACCCTAGCACCCCCCACCCTGTAATAGTGACTATCAGGGATACTAGTATCTATATTAGGGTCCTCCTATATTCCTACTATACCACTATTACAGGGTGGGGGGTCCACCTAAAGTATACCCTATATATCGCCACAAAGCCGAAAAATAGCTCCTAGAAGACCCAAAGCTTGGAGCCAGTGCGTTGTTCTTACGCAAGCGTGGAGGACGGTGGTGTAACCTGGGTTCCAATAGGCTAAGAGTCCCCAAAATGCAAGACGGTTTGCTTCAACAGATCTATCTGGGATACCCTAAACGAATCCAGAAAAATCTGGGATTTCAAGATTTTGTACAACAAAAAACTTCTTTCAACAATGCCGCAGGAACTGATGACATCCGGCAAGATTCTGGCATGGAGATGGCTCTGGCCAAGCCTTTTCTTTGCCCCTAAACCCTAAACCCAGGGTTTAGGGTTGACTTTCTTAGAGCTGTTTAGGGTTTATAGTTCAGGGAGGTTAGGTTGGGGCCCTCACCCACTGGTAATGTCCGTTCCTACATATTCCTAGTATACCACCATTAGGGATGGGGCCTTACCAGAGGTCTAGGAAGTCGGGTTTCGGAGATTAACCTTGTCATGAATCTCCCGCACCATTATGAGTAGATACTCCTGTGATCGAAAAACAAGTGCTATCTTGCGGGCATTCATCATTAAAGGGGCTGTTTGGGGGGTCCCTATAGGTCTACTGTGTGGGCCTGAAGGCTTCACAATATCGCTTTAAAAGTCTACTTGAGGTACGCGCCCTATGCTGTAAATTACGGAAGAATCTAGGAACAAACAGTTGGCAATAATTTAGGCCTGGGGCATGTAAGTGGCGACACCTATGTGCGGCTCTGCAGATGGTTCAAAGGTGACAGTTTCGGGGACCCGCAGGAAGCCGGCCCCAAAACCCTAAACCTTAAAACCCTAAATCCTTAACCCCAAACCTTAAAACCCTAAACCCTAAACCCAAACCCTACCTGCAAAGGACTTGTAGGGCTTGCTCCCAGCAATCACCTCGCTGCAGCTCCTTGAGATGAAGATTCAAACCATAGACCTTAGGTGGAGGGTTTAGGGTTTAGGGTTTAGAATATCTTAGGTGGACCCCCCACCCAGTAATAGTGAGTATAGGGGATAATTAATAGGGATTATATTAGGGTCCTCTTATATTCTTATTATACCACTATTACAGGCCTCCTAACATAGACCTGAGATCTGGTAGAAGTAGTTTAGGATTTAGGGTTTGAGGGTTTAGGGCTTCAGGGTCTTGGGCTTTAGGGTTTTGGGGTTTTGGGTTGAAGGGTTTGGAATTGAGTTTAATGTTTGGGAGTTTAGGGAGTATGGCTTCCTTCCTCATACAAAAGCTTCTCAGGAATCGGCAATAATATAAAAGGGCTAGCATTTCTGGAATTCAAAACCTGATCTGGTAGGTTGTCAAACTCCCGGGTCCCTTTTTGGACCCTCTTCTACTACAGCTCCGACCCCCGTTTAGGGTACCGAAAAATGATTTGACAAGCTTCCATCTCTTGTTAAAGCATACTGAAACACCTTCCTCTCCGTTCTACATAAGGTTTATGTATTCCGAAACGAAGAAAATGCGCTTCCAGATTTTCGAAGAGACCTTGCCCTTCTTTGATGCAGCCCTTGCAGTTTGTACCATCTTCGGCGGCCAGAGCACATTGCCCCGTGAAGAGCATGGGCTGCTCGCGTCTTGACATCGCTATGGGGGGTGCGCGCCAACTGTTAGACGGCGCCCCCTCCAAGAAAAACGGAAATAATGAACGTAGGCCTACAGTCGATGAGCCAGAGAAATCTGCGCAGGATCCCAACAAGACCCTTAGCTTGAATGACCAAATCTGCCTCTAAGCAATGGGCTGTCATACGTCGAGGGTCACGGGGACTTAGTAAGTAGGTTAATAACGGGGAACTAGGGATACTATATATGAATTGAGTGTAGGGTTAGTAAACCACTTATTAAGTCCCTCTGACCCTCCAAGTAGCCTCTCCTCCAAGCTGCCATGCCAGTGATTGTACCAAACCACACGTGGTAGTTTCCCTAAACAGGGAGCACCCAATATAGACCCCCCAAATACGATAGTCTCTATTATTGGGACCCACTCCTAACCGTGGAAACCCGCCGAAATCAGAACCAGAAGCTGTGAAACTGGCCCCTCCCCCGCTACTTGGAGGTTCGGGGCAATTATAACCTGAGGTCTAGGGTTCAGGGTACTCACGTACAGTTATAATTGGGTCACAATTGCAAGTACCCCTGCCTGCAAGTTTCCACAAATTTGGGGCATCCAGATATTTTCCCAAATGCTATAACCCTGCTTCCCGGACCCCGCTCAAAAATCTAAAGCATGGAAACCCGCAAAATGACCCCACTACATTGGGAAAGTAGGGATTATTGGGAGGGTTACAGGTTCTCAAAAAATGGGCCCGGAACCCTAAGCCCAACCCTAGCCCTAAACCCTATTTTGCAGAGCCTACCTCCCTGCCACCCATGCCTGCTCCAGTGTAGTAGGGCCCTTGTGGCGCAGGCTCCGATCCGTCCTGCAAGCACTTGGGATATGGGTGACTATAATGGGTTGGTTATTTAGGGTGTAGGGTTTAGGGGGATTAGGGCCTGGGTTTTATGCTTATCATTAAAACTACCCTTATAGAATCCTCATTAGGGGGTCCAGAATCCCCTTATGCTCCCTAAATACCGCTAGGGGCCCCATGTTGAGAAACCTCCATATTTAGCCTGTCAGGATTTGTTCATCAGATGTCTGCTCTTCTTAAGCCTGCCCGCTACCCAACACTGAACCCTAAATCCCTACACCCCTAAACCCCTAAACCCCTACACCCCCAAACCCTCCTCACTTCTGGGTCGGGTCCTCGTTGAAGCCCAGGGGAATCTTGGCTTCTTCTCCAATCTTCCCGGGCCTGATATCCATTTCGCATGCTTCTTGACGCGCTGACTCAGGCTAGTTGTCAACCAATTTGATTAAACAAAAAGACGTGATTGTTTGAGAAATCATCCAAACACGAGGCGGATTACCCCAGAACTCTGAAGCTTGCAACATGCATATTTAGAGTTAACCTTATTTGAGCTCCTTACATCTCTACAAAACACCTATATACCCCCCAATTTCGATGTTCGTGTTCCATTTGATTCCTGCACAAACGGGTAATACCTTAACCCTAAACCCTATAATACTCCCTGAAACCTATGGTCCACTCGGCTGCAGGCTGGGTTCCTCCCTTGTTGCTGCTACGGAACTTAAACTAAGTTACCATGTGCTTCAACGGTTTGGGATTTAGGGCTTACTCTGAGTCACCATTTTACGGGTGTGTATATACATATATCAAACAATAAGGTTTGCTTTATAGTAACTCAATGTAAGTTCCTTAACAGCAGCCCTAAACCCTAAGCCCTCAGCCCTAAACCAACTCCTAAAGACAGCCTCATGAGCGTGTACTCCTGCTCAATGCCAAACCAGGGGTCCAGGTGCTCGTACCTTGTGGCTGGTAGTTGCTGATATTGGGAGAGTACTCCTACTGCTGCTATTCTATAATCCCCTAGGCCTCTATTCAAACTAGAATCTCTAATAGTTCCTTAAGGTTATACTATAGCAATATAGAAAATAATTTCCCAGGAGACTACAGCATTGTCGAAGCAGGCTTCTGCTAAACCTGACCCAGGCACAGTTCGAGACACCATCTACAACTACTATTGTCTAGTATGACGACTATCACCACTACTACTATCATTGCAACTATCACTGTTGCTACGAGCTGCTTCTCCATGATCTGGGCACAAGCGGCGCGCCTCACAGGGAGCCAGCAGTAAAAACTTGACGCGAACTTCGCACGCGTAATCTAACAGGCATGCAAGAGTGGGATGACAGCGTCTACTTTAGAAGCCTAAAGAATGGCCAATGTCATCTTCATGTCTATTTTTGAGGTACCCTATGAATAAACATAAAAGGAATCTAGGACCATGATGTTGGGCATCATCCCTACTTGGAGGGCAAGGAGGATTTAGCAACTAGGGTAACAACGCCTAAAACCCATGTAGTATCCCCAGTTATCCCTCTTATTAGCCTACTTGTTGAGCCAACCCCACTGGCCCTCCAAGTACAAACCCTAGACCCCAAAACCCTAAATCCTAAACCCTAAACGCCAGTATAAGCTCTGTTTCCATTTTCTTCCAAGCTTGGCCTGCCGCACCCAAGTCTCTGAGTAGGGGCCCCTAATCTGGGTTGGTGTTAAGGAACTTAAATCAAGGTACCATAACGGGTATATAGGGCATAGAGGGTTAAGGCTTATCATAATGGGTATATATAGTACTGAGTAGGGTTTCCCCAATATAGTGACTTAAATGAAGTCCCTTAACAGCAACCCAGCTAATCTACTTACATGATATAAACTTACATTTACAAGCTACACTGAAAATTTCCTACAAAAATCACAGGAGAATGAACAAATACACGGACCATGGAAATATGGAATGGATACTACTATTTGAGATTCATATTCGTCATATAATCAACGGACATGGGTTCCCATATGGGAATATATTGGGGACTATACTAGACCCCCGAGTCTATCCTTCAGGGGGCCCCCATGGTAAGCCTAATATTGACTGTCCTATGCGCCTTTTCTAGCCAGGCAGTCCCTCCTGAAGCCACAATAAGCCCGCTACCCTAAACTCCAAACCCAAGCCTTAATCACTAAACTAAACCCTAAACCTTAAACTCTAAATCCAAGCCTGCCCTGCTTGAAACCTTCCTTGCCAGCAAGTCTCGTATTGCCTATCGCCGGTTGACCGTCCCAGGCATTGTAGGCTTCTGCCAGCACCAGGATGTGCGGGCTGCCACGGAAGGGGTCCTGGGGTCTTGGCATACGAGCATGATATGGTAGTTTCCATGAATGGGGGATTCCGATATAGACCCCAGTATAGTATAATTTTTACTAGAAGTTTTCCTGGTGGCCCCCTGATTTTGGACCCCCCATATTGTAAAAGACTTGAAGTTTGCAATTACAAGTTTGTATTTATTCCATGGTTATAAACCCAACAGGTACAGAGGAAAACTTCAGAGACTTTTCATTCCTAATTTAATGAACCTCTAAGGGATCTCGGCCGTAGTCGACTACTGCAAGGAATCAAAATGCTCTAGCTGCTGTACTTCATTGTGGGCATGTCATCGGCCCCAAATAAATCTGCTCGATGCTCTGAACTCTGAAAATAACGCTGGCGGGCCTTGAAGATCGCCTTGGGATACAGGTAGACCTCCGAGTTTTGTCCATCTGCTTGCTCCGTGCTGCTGCCATCATAATTCCACTTGCGCAAGCCTGCAAAGTCCATGAGTCCATACGAGGCATAGTCTAAACTCCAGTATCCCTCTTTATATGGCAGTCCCGTATACAATCGCTTATATAACCCCCTGAAGGAGTTTAGATTACGGGTCATACAAGCAACGCGCGCACTCAGAACTGCCCTGGTCTACCATGCCCTCGCTCCCAGCTGCATGTATGATGTTGAAGAATAATCCCCTCCCCTAGTATTGGTTTAGGGTTTAGGGTAACCGACCACCCCCCCAATATCAAATGCTCCCATTCTTGTGTGCCATAATACGTTGGGAATAATTCATACAAGGTGTTCGGGGTTGAAATATTGGGGCAGGGAAATACTTTCGTGTCTGGCTCATGTTTGCAGTGGCCTTCCAGAGAAGTCGGCAGCGTCGTCATCGTCATTGTCTTGGACCTGTTCGTAAGCTGTACTGGTTCTGAAGTCTGAAATCAAGCACTTTTGGGGTTATATAGGTGGTTTCCTTGAGTAGGAAGACCCAACATAGAGCCCAAAATACTAAAATCCCTTAGCAGGGGGACACACACACAAAGGGACCGCTACTTTTGGGAAAACCCTGACCCTGTATAATCCCTATGTGTCCCCTATAAAACCCTTGAAAGTCTGAGTTCTGGCCGCTTTTGGGGCACAATAACAAAGCATCTAATGCTTCGAGGCACAGATATGAAACCTACATTTGGAAACCGCATCTGAGGGGTGTCTTTGGTGGTTGTATTCTTAGAAAAACATACCCCTTAACCAATTTAAAGACAGTTCCTGGGAGGGGGAATGGCCCAAATGATCCCCTCGCTGAACCAAAACCTTAAGACCTATGAGCCCTAAACCCACTATAAACCCTAAACCCTACTTGGGGCAGATGAGAACAAGAGAGGGACATTCGGCCTTGGAACCTGCTTTGCATCCAGCCAAACATACTCTGCAAGCACAGCGCTGGAGTAACCTGAGCAACTTACTTTCGTACTAGGGTTTAGGGTTTAGGGTGTAGGGTTTAGGGTTAACCTTTGGTACTGCCCCCTCCCAGTAACAGTCTGTACTAGGGGTTAGATTGAGGGCTGTATCCAGCGATGCTATAAACATTATCCAGCTGTTACAGTACGGAGTGGGGCAGTATCCAAGGTTAACCAAACAAGATAAAAGATACAATGCCCAAAAGGAAGGTATGTTTTGCCTCTATGTGGCAATGGGGGAACCAATATGTACCCCGAAATACTATATAATCCCCCAATACGCACCCCTGACTTTTTGAAAGCCCCAGATTGGAGGCCCTGGTATCCTCAAACAAATCGCTACTCACCTGAGCTTGCGACCTTGTATGGGGTTGGTGGCTTCAGGGTCTAGGAAATGGAAGAGAATATGGGAACGACCATATCCTTGGGGGTTATGTTGGGGCGAATAGAAGGATGGGTCGGATAGGTTTCTTGTGAACAGTATGGGATTCTTATTGACATGAAAACAAGGAGAGATGCTGGTCATGTTGGCCAATCCATCAGCGCCCTGGTCAACGCCCTTCTTCTTTTTCTTGCTGGGGCCGCCCGCAGCAGATGCTGGCCTAATATCAGGAGCAGGTTTTAGGGTTGCGGGCTCGCAAAATGGCTGGCAGGAAATGATGACCCATAAGTGAAGTTAGCCTTTCAACGTAAGGACATGGCGACATTAAAACAGGCAACTGTAATTCGGAACCCACCATTATTCCAGGAGAATCCCGGTACAAACCGTGCAGAAACCCTACAAGCTTCATGTCCATGTTTCCCTCATGTCTCCATCCGACCAAATTGCTATGCCAAATGTGCATGACGGAGAGCCTCTTCTTTGGAGGCATGCTCGGGATGCACCTTCACGGTGTGCTGCTACCGCGAAGAATTGGACTATTCAATCTTTGGGATACCTTATACGTACTAGGATAGAAGAGGGAATTCTACTGAACATAGGGGCCGCAGCATCACAAGGGTCCTTGCTTTGGGTGTAGGCCAAGCCATTGCAAGCATTTTAGCTTTTGGGGTGGGGTAGAGAAGACGGGGTCTTCAAACAGCACTGATCACTAAACAAATCCCATCCCACCTGCACGCCGGCGCCGGGATACTCGGCGCGGGAACTCAACTTGCAGGCTTGCTTGAGCCTTGAAACGCAATTGGCCTGAAATACTGCAGGCACAAACAGCAAGGAGCCCAGTTGGGCACTAAGAAGTCTTACTTGGGGTTCTCCAAAATTGGGGTCTACACTGGGCTTCCCCTATTTATGTGAAGTGCCAGCATCATCTAGGACCCAAAAACCTAAAGTTTCCTGAATAGGCGGGTAGCAAGATAATTTCCTATTCCACACAAAAAACAGAGAAGCCAGACCAACTCTACATTGAGGGACTAGGTTTTGGCATGACGTTGGCCTTTTGGCTGCAGGCTTTAGAGTACATCGGCTATTCCTGTACTTTAGGGGCCTAAAAAATACCAATGTTATTTTGGGGTCTATTTGAGGTACCCTAGTCTCTAATTTAAGGATCCTGGGACCGTGACACGGTTTAGGGTTTAGGGTTAAGCTTCCACATTTGGAACTTTGCAGCGAGGAATTGCGAGCTTCTCCAGATCATGGATTCGCCTTGGCAGATCCCTGAACATATATGAGGGTTCCTTTTTGGGTTCCTCATAATTAAGATCATACTATTTTGAGGTCTATATTATATGGGGGTACCATTTTTGGAAACTACCATGTCGTTTTCGGGCCATGGGATCTTGCGAAACGTACTGTGCCATTTCATGCTCTGAAAGATCAACCCGGCCGGGGTTCCTCAATTCTGAGAAATTCAAAACCGTAACCCCTAAACCCCTCAACCCTTAAACTCTACTGTAAGCCTTTACACCCTTAACCCCAACACCCCAAACCCTTAAACCCTACGCCCTTGAACTTTAAACCCTAAACCCTCAATCACCCACCTGTGCAATAACCCCCCCCAGCCTCCTTGCTGACCTCCACAGGCCACCATCCCGCAAGTCCCAACCAGCCTTTGTTAGGGTTTAGGAGCTTAGGGTCTAGGGGTTTAGGACTTAGGATTTGAACGTTTAGGGTTTTAGGGTCTAGGATCCGGATTTGAGGGTTTAGGTCTAGGGCCAGGATTTGAGGGCTGAGGTTTAGGGTCTGGATTTGAGGGCTGAGGTTTAGGGACAGGATTTGAGGGTTGAAGTTTAAGGTTAGGATTTAAGGGTTGAGGTTTAGGGTTACGATTTGCGGGTTTCGATTTTTTTTAGTCGAGGGTTTCTAACTTAGAGTTGAGCGCTTAGGACTTGAGATTGAAGGTTTAAGACCCCGCCAGCTTCCGCATACAAGGAAATGAGGGGTCCCTCGAAGCGGCCCACAGCGGTGAGAAACCCATTTGCTGTTTCTCAGATATGGGACTTGTATAGTGATATATAGGGCTTCTATTTGCTGTGGGATATTACTCGAAATAACGAATTACATTGGAAAGAACATTGAACCTGAAACAGAACCTTGGAGGATATAGCGCTTTTAGGGAAGATTTGAGTAGTGTTTTTTTGGCGGTTGAAGCTAGTAAGATAATATTCCTTATGTAAAATACTATACCCCAAAAGGAGGATACAATCTTACTCTATATTGGGTACCATAGTATCCACAAATATGTTTTTTCTCATTTGGGGTTGCGAAGCCTGAGCTTAGCAGCTGGTAGTTTTCTTGGTAAGCCACAGCACTGCTCTATGACCCATGGATTGAGTTCTGGTGCCCCCGCTTGGACACCCAAGATATACAGTTACCAATGTTCCTAAGGAACCATGTATACACTTCATATATCTCCTATGCGTACAAACCACTGTACAATCTCAGTTGCCATGTCACATTCCACGTTCTTTTCCAGTCTATTCTCCATTCTTGTGGTTATATCCATTATATCCCTCTCTTAACCCTAAACCCTAAAATGTACCTATATCATCCCCGTGATGCTGTACTGCTCTGAACCCAACACCCTCCGACGAGACAAGGCCAGATCTCCTAGGATGCCCGGCCCACCACGCTGATTGCCCCAGCGAGAACCAAGTACGCCTGTCGCCGCCTGTAGTTTGAGGGTTATTTGCTGGGGGCAAGTAGGGCATCAGGTAATCCCTATATAATGCATTCCCTTATTCACTGCTAACCCGCAGAAATTTCAGAGTTTAGGGAAGTTGGTGAGTCACTGATGGCTTTCAAGGGGCCATGGCTGAGCTTGAGTACTGCCCGTGAGAATGACTTGAGTAGCATTTATGGGTGGTTGAACCCAGTACGAATATATTCTTTATATTAAATACTATACCCAAAAGGGGGAAAACTTACTGTATATGGGGTACCGTAGTATCCTCGATCAAAGTGCAACATACCCTAAACCCTAAACCTTAAACCCTAAACCCTAAACCCTAAACCTTGTTGCTGGCTGCAGTTGCTCGCAGCACTTCAAGCTCAGGTAGCTGCGAGCCGAAGATTGGGATACTGTCTGCCTCAGCTGCAGCACCCTCTATATATATATATACATATTGGTTTAGGGTTTAGGATTTTGGGTTTAGGGATTTATATATGGTATTTTTCCCAAAATTAGGGGTACCTTTTTGGGGGTCCCCATAATAAGGCTTAAAGTATTTTGGGGTCTATATATATATGTATATATATATATACACACATTTTTTATTTATGACTTACAGGGGGTCAGTAGGGAATAAGGGAAATTATTATGTGCGGCTTATATAGGCATTATGTAAGGATTGTAATCCCTTATTCCCTACCAGCCCCCAGTAAGATGAGAATGATGCATAGGCTTCTGGGGGCTGCTGCTGCCAACCAACAAACCATCTACAATGAAGGTGCTGGGTTCTAACCCCACCCTGCAGCAGTTTGATATCAATTTTACATAGTTATACTATATGATTATACTATAGCTGCATAGGCCGCGTAGTTTTACCATTTTTATAGACTGTCACTGGATGGGGGCAGTACCCAATGAATGCAGGAGGTGGCAGAAAGCAATGCATTCTCAAATACCCTAAGCCCTAAACCCTAAACCCTAATCCCTAAACCTTAAACCCTAAGCCCTAAACCCTAGGCCCTAGGCAAATTGAAAGCCTGAGGCCCACACCACAAAACCCCACAAGGGTTTCATAATCCATGGCCAGTACCTCGCCAGCAGTGCTAGTAGCAAGCCCCCAGCCTGCAATACGTTGAGCTTGCAGACAACCCTAAACCCTAGACCTTAAACTTTAGATCCTCAACCCTAAGCCCTTCACCCTAAACTCTACATCCTAAACCCTACACACTAAACTCTAGATCCCAAACCCTAAACTCTAGATCCTACACGCTAAAGGCGGTTTTGTTGAGCAGGGCACGTGAAGGAGAGAAACAGCGAGGAATCTGCAGGGGACATCCCCAGGGTGTCCTGCAGACTTTGGCAACAGGGTGAAGCAGGAGAGGCTGCTGCGAATGTCTTGCATAGATTGACGGCTTATTGACGTTCTACTTACTGGATGTTCGTAGGGGGTATGAGGGAATATATTACATAGAGACTATTTTCCGTTATTCCCCACTAACCCCCAGTAAGTCTAGTATCCACCCACAACCCTAAACCTGAATGATCAGCCTAGAGCTTTTCCCGAGCCCGGTCCCTGAGGCCGACATTGACTCTTGAGCCATTATTACTATGGAGGGTTTCCCAAAAATAGGGGTACCATTTTAGGGGTCCCCATAATACGGATTTTGGTATATTGGGGTCTATATTGGGGTCCCCCCATTTTGAGAAACTATTACCATTATTACGATGACCATGACTATTACTACGACGATCATTCCTGCTATTAGTACTCTTAACATTATAACTATTACGAATTCTTTTAAATATTGCTATCACTACTCCTACTGTCATTGTTATTAATTGGTGGGGATGCTTCGTCCTTCACATAGAACGGCTTCGCCAGGGCTGCCAACGCAAGAGCCCCCTGCATCAAGACATCTCTTCAGAATTCCAACAACGTCCATGCAGCCCCTAAGCCCTAAACCCGAACCCCCCCAAACCCGTAAACCCATTCCCAAAGCCAAAGCATGATCTTGGCTTGAAAGCTTTCCGTTGCAGCTGCCTGCGCAAAGTAGGCCAGGCCAACCGCTGTGAAGTCTGCCGTGAGCGGCACACCCAGCAACTGCCACAGGGAATGTCTACTTGGAGGGTCAGGGGGACTTAGCAAGTATAGGGTTTAGGGTTTAGGTTCTGGGGGACATAGTAAGTAGAATATTCACCCCTGTAACCCATACCATAAGGCTACCTGTCCCCATACTAACCTACTCACTACGTCGCCCTGACCCTCCTAGTCACTACGTCCCCCTGACCCCCCCAGTAAGAGATGGCTGGCAGCGGACAGAAGCACTGCGAGGGAACACCACTACAAGCCCACATCCTGATCCCTAATCCATACTCCATGTACACCTAATCCCTAAACCCCCTAGACCCTAATCCCTAAACCCCCTAAACCCTTAATCCCTAAACCCCCTAAACCCTAATCCCTAAACCCCCTAAACCCTGATCCCTAAACCCCAAACGTTTACTTGCAAAAGGCAAGGAGGTTGCAAGGCCTCCCAGGGCTCGTCCTTCTTCGGGGTTCCCGGCTGGGAGTTGTACACTCGACGCGACCTAGGGTTTAGGGTTTAGCAAGGACCCGAATAATAGGATATAGGGGGACTATGTAAGGATATTAGGGGACTATATAAAGGTCCAAGGACCCGAATAATAGGGTTTTAGGGCCCAAATACCAATAATATTGTAGTATAGGGGCGCGGAAAACCCTTTTATTTGGGTCCTTGGACCCTCAGGGACTCTCTTCGCAACGCGCACTTCCTCTGCCCGTTTAGTCGAGTTTCTCGTCATACCTGGACCCCCAAGAGGATGGGAGGGGCTCATCTGGGTACATCTCAAGTATTTTCGAGGCGACATAGACAAACTACCATGGAATCCCCAACTGGAGCGATGCAGGGCCAAAGTTGAGTAAGGTTTAGGGTGTAGAGCTTAGGGTAATCCTTAGCGCAATGTATGGGCCTGAGCAATCCTAGTACAACAGTATGATTGTCAAGTGACCACACTGGTAAAATATCCCTAGTCTTGTAAGCTCCGAACCTAAGCCCCATGTACCGCAGGAGTACTCGAATTGCACAAGCGGCCTCTAATTACTGCAAAAACCCACCAGTACGAAAATCAAACGCTGGAAATGAAATGGAAACTAGGGTCATACAGGGGCCCTTCATAACGCGATTTTCCATTTCATTTTCGCCCCATGCTGCCTATGCTCTTAGACCCTCAGCCCTAATCCCAATACCCTAACCCCTAAACCCTTAAAAAGCCTAAGCCCTAATCCTAAACCCTAGACCTTAAACCCTAAACTCCTTTGATCCCTAAGGCCAAGGCAGCTTGGAGGCAGAGCGAGAGCGGAAGCCAGCCTGCGATGATCGGCCACGGTTGGTAGGATTTGCGGTTAGGATTTAGGGCTTAGGGTCAGGTGATTCGGGTTTAGGGATTAGGAGTTAAGGATTTGGGTTTCGGGTTTAGGATTTAGCGTGTAGGGCTTAGGGCTGAGGATTTAGGGTTTAGTATTTAGGGTTTAGGATTCACGGTTTAGGGTTTGGGACCTAGGGGTTAGGATTTAGGATTTGCTAGGCTGTAGGGTTTGGGCTTCAGGGCTTAGGGTTTGACGCGACCACTGAACTTATGATTTTGTTACAAACCACGCATGCCCAATTGAAGGACGTACCCAATTGTTCCAACTAATTTAAACCCCAAATTAGTAAACGTCTAAGGGCCTTAATACTAGGATCCCTATAGCAATCCTTCAAGGAGAGGGAAAACTACTTCTGAATCAGGGGTCAAGAGTCGACATTAGGTTTCAGTAGCAGACTTTAGCTTCCATCCATCACCAAACCACCAGGTGCCCAAACCCTACAGCTTAACTGGCCTGGCAACCTATAGTCCCCCTTAAGTAGATAGAATATGGAATTGACCAATATTATAATAAGATCCCCATATTCCCCATATTCTATCTACGTAAGTAAGGGGGACTATAAACCCTGTGGCTGTACGTAAACCCTTGGTTCGAAGGAGCAAGATGGCTGAGAGCAATTACTTAACTGTTGGTCCCTCCGACTGGAATCCAGATCCTCATACCTTGAAACTATAGAAGGAACCTGCCTTTTCAACCCTAAATCCTAAACCCTAAATCCTAAACCCCAAATCCTACACCCCAAATCCTAAACCCTAAATCCTGAACCCTCAGCGTAAATCCTGAACCCTAAACCCCCAGGGCTTTGGGGTGTA